TATACCCTCTATACCACCCGTATACTCCCACCCCAACCCCCCATTCCCCCCCCATCCCCAAAAGTTTCTCAGCGGACTTAGGCTGTACTCAGCAAGCGCAGTACAGCCCCCAACTCAGATTTGAAAAAAAATCAGTGGATGGTTGTTTTCTGACTGGTCGGCGGTTGGCGCCGGTGCAACCCTGACAACAGCCCGTATGGGAGATAGGGGCGCTGGTACGAGCAGACGCCTCCATCTCCCCCGGGGCGGCTCCGTCTATTGGTGGGGCGCAACACCTGCTGGAAATTGGGTCCAGCGAAGATCAGTTGATGATGATCAGAAAAAGTGGGGTGCTCACCTTCCTCCTATGTCCGTCTGCCGAACTGTGTTTTGTTTTGCTCCATGTCCATTCTGGGGAGCATCGCTCCAGTTCCTTCTCCCCCGGCAAGCCATGTATTACATCATTGACAATTTCACACCCTCACGCTTCCCCTTACATTCGGTGGCCCTGTTAATTTTGAATTCTTTGTGATCTTCACATGATGTTCATGACCAAGCATTGCCCATGAAAAAAAAACTAATGAAGTCCATTCTCAAAATAAATTCAGTCAAGCGTTAAACTGATAGACCGTAGTAAAACTTTCTATTCAGCCGTCACAAGTGCTCTCCGTACCGTGCGAGATGGTCCCCCATCACACGTCTCTCCAACCTGAGTAACCTTTGTTGCGTGCCTGACACAGAATGGAATTTGCTTACGCTGTGGCGGTGGCTGTGCTTAAAGAAGCGTTGACCATCGTTCTCTTAAGATTCTCATGATGGTCATGACCAAAGAAAGAATGCCTATGTTCATCATGTTCATGACCATGATCCGCGCTATGTTCATGATGTTAAACCACCAGTACCTGGCCCAGCTATCGGCCGCGGCGCTTCCCGTATACGCGCCGCGCCATTTGGGCTTCGGCCTGCCGGACCGCATTGGCTGGAGGCCGCAGGCAAAACGAAAAAGAAAATTGCGACGGCGGTTCGGCAGGACTTGGCGCGCAGCGTGCTGGGAGGCTCGGATTCAATAGCTGAGAGCGGTACTGCTGGTTTAATGAACAAACAAGGCGAATGAACATGACGAACCGGGTTACGTTCATGCACGAACGTCATGAACGTACAATCGCCAAGGAACTGGGATGAAGAAAAGAAATGCACCCCTGGTGAACAACACAAGGGTTGCCAGGGTGAATAGTGCGGAGCGAGGGTCTTACCACGGCAAGCGGGACCGCAAGTTTTTTTTTATTAACTTTTATACCCCCCCAAGCAAAGCCAGCCAAACTACAAAATGAAAGTGGGACATCACCAGATGAAACTGGGACCCGTAAACTTTTGCCAGGCAATAAGGGTCTTTATTAAACCCCAATAGCGACAGAGCGGGACTACGAAAATAACCTGAGCCACTACGAAAGGGACCGACCTTTTGAAGTCCCACCTTGTCCCTCCTTTGCACCAAAGGAACTGGAACTGGTAAATGCCTGGTAAATGCCAAGGTGGGACAAAGGAGAGGGTTCCAAAGAGTGGGACTACGAAAGTACCCTTGCCCGATCGCCTCCTTAGTCCCACCTTGTCCCAAAGAGTACTACTACAAAACCTGGGATGAACAGAACGACGCCACTTGTCGGTGTAGGGACTCGGGAATATCATTCTTATCATTCTTCTTGGGACAAACTGGGACCATGAAAGTACCTTCGATTCGTACCATTCTTCTTGGGGACAAGATCATACACGAAGCCTTTTATTTGAAATTATTTCAGGATGACCATACAAGTTCACAGTTAAAACCTTTTCCCGGACCCCCCATTTTTCCACTTATTCACGTGTCTCCAGACTGGGACGTGATGCGCACACGGCATTAAATGACCAGTGCATTTCCCCGCTTCCAAAAACAAATATGCGGCTCGTTGACAGCCACAACTTTCGGCGGGTCAGGGTACCGGACCAAAAGGGATGGCGGCGCCAGCCAAAAGGAGGCCCGCGCCTGTTCGTCCGTTTTTGGTACGCAAGGAAGGCGTTTCCAGGTCGGAGAAAAGTGCCTCAGAAGTACTGGTGGTTTACTAAATGTTATATTGATTCAATTTGATTGGTACCTTTTTTTTTTTTCTTTTTTTTTTCCCACCTTTCATGGTGTGTATTGTGCAATGGTGCATTGATGACAAGGCTATTTTTGTGCAATTGTGCATTGTGCATGGAAGGATCCCTGGGCCGCAGTCCCACTCGCAAGGAGAATTAGAAATTGAAATCTGAATCCGAACGTCTTTGTGGAGAGGCGCGTGCAGGTAATCACGACCGATCTGCTTTTCTGCAACTCTGCTTAAAGCCTTAAACCCATCCAGATTCAGGCGCTTAATCCAATGCTCTTCGTAAGTGGGACTGCATCCCTGGAGGCCTAAGGCTCTGGAGTACCAGGATAAATTATTATGGAACCCTCTGTATAAAATCATCCAGCGAACAATCCAATATAAAATTATAAATAAAAGTAATAAAATTAATAAATGTATTCTCAATTTCTCAAACTGCTCCCACTCTTGACTACCAAGCATTTAGTCCCCGGATATCAAAAAATGAGAACTATCGATCATCGGATAGGAAACAGCTATCATTTGATATAGCAAGGCGCAATGAGCAAACTCTTCACATTACGTCGGCATTCATGCATGCATTGTAAATGGGACTTCCAATCGTTGCCATTCATGCATTGCAAAAGGGACTGCCGATCACGGGTGAAACAGTTTTCACCTTTGGCAGTAGCCGATGTAGATCCCAGGGGTCGATCCCTTGACCCCAGCTTACCTGTGTACAGTATCTGCACAGTTCCCTGGAGTTGAACCCGTGACCTGCACGATAGCCAGTGGTAAGTAGGTCGCCGTAGGTTGTAGGCTGTAGGGAGATTCGAACT